AGATTAGGAGGTGTTCACATTTTAAGGTTTTTGCATTCGCAATATTCCGGTTTCTGAAGAAATGTGAACACATTCTCCATAAATATTTATAGTTCTTTTGACCACATAGCTTTATGGCATTCCAGAAATTTGAAAATTTGATTTAAATGAATCTAGTCATGCATGAAAGCCCAATTATGATTGAGTCCATTCAAGATTTTTTCCCAAAGTTTTGATATCATGACAATATTTGAGCAATTTTGTATGAAACATCAGAAATTTTATGAAAAGTGTTAAACAGGTGAATTTTTCAAATGCGACTGTTCACTGTTCAAATTAGGAGGTTTTTTAACATTGAAGTCAATGGGAGGAAAAAATGGGACCGAAAAAAAGTGTTCAGATTGGGAGGTGTGCGGATTAGCCAGGTGTTCAGATATACATGTTCTACAGTACATGTTTATATTATATTGTGCTCCAATCATATTGCAACATGTTGTTGTTGTGCTATATATATTGCGTAGTGTGAGAACATAAAAGTAGTGCAAAACCATCGTGGTAATCCACGCCCTCTCCATCTCTATCCTTCTGGATCTGCGATGCAACAGAGAGAGATGCTATGAGTATCAGAATGGTGCAAAACAGTCAATACTTACAATGGCTACCATATCTGCCATCTATTTTGTGGTGCAATGATTCAACACTTAAACAGCATCTGGCTTTAAAGGTACAGGAACAAGCATCATAGAGTACCTGAAATACAAGTAAGATATGTTATATCATAGCATATGGTGCATATGTATTATGACATGACTCTGTCATAATACATATATCCTAAATACATATGCATCCATTAACTTGTCACCCTGGTTGCAATAACCCAGATACCAGTAGGTAGTTACCAGTTTCACCAACAGGTGGCTAATTCATGTCAAATAACATGGCAGGTACAGTCGAGTTTCATTAAACTTGAATATTCATCAGTTTAAGTACTCACGTTCCATATATCCCTTGTGTGTCTGATAATTATACAAATAAAAATATGTCCAGGAAAAGAGAATCATCTGTCCAACACAAGAAAAGTTACTTCACTTTTTGTGAGTGTATAACATGGGGTCTATGGGAAATGTACCAGACCTTGAAGTCGATTTTCAAAATCGATAAAATACTTTCTTAAACCACATTTGTATAATATCTCTTTGACAAAACTTTGAATATTTAATGACGTAAATAAGGGTTATGTACATTGCCAATCTCAAATACAGTAAAACCTGTCTAATCCGAACGCAATTGGGACAGGCTTAAAGCGTTCAGTTTAGGAGGTGTTCACATTTCGAGGTTTTTGCATTCGCAAGATTCCGGATTCTGAAGAAATGTTAACATATTCTTGGTTCACATTTGACCACATAGCTTTGTGGCATTTCAGAAATTTGAAAATTTTATTCAAATGAATCTAGTCATGCTGAAAAGCCCTATTATAATCAAGACCATTCAAGTTTTTTTCCCAAAGTTTTGATATCATAACAATATTTGAGCAATTTTGTATGAAAATAGTGAAAATTTATGAAAAGTGTTCAGATTAGACATTAATTTTTCAAATATGACTGTTCACTGTTCAAATTGAGAAGTGTTCACATTATAAGTTTTTTAACAGGTGAGTCAATGGGTGGAAAAAATGGGACTGAAAAAAGAGTGTTCAGATTGGGAGGTGTTCGGATTAGCCAGATGTTCAGATGCATGTTCTACTGTAGTGCTATACAGCACTGTTTATGAAACAGTAGTAAATACCAATGAACATATCAGAATTCAGTTGGAAGAGATTTGGATTTATATAATGCTTGTTAAATTAAATTGTATAAATTTGTGACAGACAATACATATTTATCCATAGAAGCACAAATCTGAGTTTTTAAGGTAACCAAAATGGGGAGAGTTTGTGAATATGCTTGTTACTTTTATCTAACTCATTATATTCCAGAAATCATGGGATAAATATGTGTATGAGTGTGATATAAAAATATGTTTTGGATGAATTGTTGATCTTATATTTGGCAAATAATTTAACATAGGTTAACTCCAAGGAGAATTGGCTCCCAGAGTGCAACATTGATATTCTGTCCCAAATATGGGCATGTCATGATACAAAATTTGAATTCAATCAGCCGCCATTTTGTTCACTTCAACATTTGAATAGTGAATTTGGTCTTATTTCCTAACAAAAAATTCCAAAACTCTCAAGAAATGATAGAGATATAGGTTCGAATCTTTAGAACTATTTATTTTGAATCTATAGTCAGTTTTACTGGTTTTACTTTCAGAAAATAACAACATTTCAACGTTTTCATTGTTGGCAAATATTGAGTTTCGATCCTGGGAGCCAATCCTCCTTGGGTTAACTTTTTCAAGAAGAAAATTCCTAACCCAAACCAAACCATTTAATTGCAGGTTTAAAAACAAATCCTTTAAAGATTTTACTGCAAATTCTACAGCATGTTATATTAGTAGTAGATCACAAGTCACCTACTTCAGATATTCTGAAAATGATTAGGCCACTAAAATAAGGTACCTATGCAATAACCCAGATGCGAGTAGAAATAATCTTGATTTACGTCATTAAAAATTTAAAATTCAGTGAAAGTAATATCATATTTGAAATTTACATGTAAAATTACATCTAGAAATGTGGTTTTAAAAAGTGTTTATCAACTTTGAAAAATTAATTTTCTTCGAAAATGTGACTTCTAGCTCGGGGAGATTCCCAATAGACCCCATGCTATAAAATCACAAAAAATGAAATATCTTTTCTTTTAGTGGACAGATAATATTTTGCTTTACTGGACATATTTTCATTAGTATAAGTATCAGACACATAAGGGTTATATGAAAATTGAGCCACTTAAATTGATAATATTCAAGTTTAAGGGAACTTTCTTATATACCTGCCATGTTAATTGACCCAAACTCGCATTTGGGTTATTACAGAAAACTGATGGAATAATTTGGAGTTATGACTAAAATGAGGCGATATCATGATTCTTAGCAACAAAAGTGGTGGCCATTTTGAATTTAGGTGAACTTTGAATTGGCAAAACTTGAAGACATCATTTTCAACCTGCAAAATAAGGTAGCTGTACATTATTAAGTAAATTGATGATTTCTAAGTTATAAAAGTGGTGGCCATTTTACAAGCTTAAGAACCAAGAGTCATTATGTGGGCTTTTTGTCTTGATAATTAACAAAAATATCTCAAAACTAGAAACACATTGACAGAGGTTAGAAAACTTGCCATCATTGCTGACAGACAAGTGAGTTATTGCAAAAGCTAATTTGTGATTCTATTTGATCTTACCATATGTTACAAAAATACAATTAAACTGACATAATTATCTTAAGCAAATATCTGACTTATGCTGTATACCACTGGTCAGTATCAAGCGTAGGTAACAGCCGTAACCTTCTCATCTGAGATGGCGGACAGTAATTGTCGATTTCGATATTTTTGGTTTTCATTGAATTAAAGTACTTTATATTTGAGGTTATGCTTTGATATTTGAACCAAATCATGCTTGTGACATGGGAACTATGGAGCATGATTAGTTGTTCATGCATCGTGCGTGGGCATCACAGTTCAACGATATGTTCCACTGCTTAAGGGAAGGCACCATATATTAATGGTCATGTTAGTTTTCAATGTGCAGTATCTGGACATCTTAGCTCTCCATTATGAACTCTGACAATGTTACCACATCACCGCATATCAGTTATCTTATCATCTGTAAAACCCGAGTTCCAGTTACCTTTCCTTAGCGGTGGAGGATATCTTTGAACTGCAGCGCCCACGCATGGTATATGAACCAATGATCAAACTCCAGAGTTTCCATGTCATATAGGCCTGATATAGTTCAAATATCAAAGCATTACGTCAACTAAAAAGTGGTTTAATAAAATGAATGGAGAAAAAATCAAAATTGACTCTTACCGTCTGCCATCTTAGATGAGAATGTTACGGCTGTTACCTTCACTTGCTACTGACCAGTGATATATGTGACAATTCGGTATAGTGCTGTGCTTGCATTGGATAACTGCAAGTCAAATGTGCATATATATCAACTAAAATACTTCATTCATCTCTATACTGTATGTTGGCATTTAATTCATAATAGTAAAATATGATATACAAGTAATTAGTGCATAAACAAAGAGGGATTGAGGAAGGCTTCCGCTAAAGTTAAGTCCTCTGTGCGAGTATTTAACTTCGCACTTTTCCGAGTTATTGGAATATGAAATCAATTATTACAAAAGCAATAAAGTATATGATAGCAAGTATCTTTCTTTTAGTACTGGTACAGTGCGTCATATACAGGTTTGTACATAGAGCAACTCACAAAATGAGGTCTTATGATAAGGAGTGGTACAGATATGGTCATAAAGAAAATACTATTCTGAATGTAAATGATCAAGGATCATCACAGAAACCACTTAATCTATTTCACACTTCCACTGAAAGCTCCAAGGAATGGAAACAAACATATATCAACAACAAACCAATTACTAATGACAGACAAAGGAACAAAAATGATGAAAAAAATATTAACAATCAAACACGAACTATTGGTGAACAAAGGACTGGGAATGATGAGAATATTAAGAAATATGGTACAGGTTCTGAACCATCAAAGACAGCAGTACAATTAGCTCTTAGTAAAATTTTGAAATTAAAGGAGGGGTCGCCAATTAAAAATGGACTTTTGGTACAATATTTCAATTCAAAAAATTGGAATGAAAGGAGGAATACATATATTCATTCACAAAATTTCTCAAACATACCTTGCTATGTCAAAACAAAAGTGTTCTTAAATTTTGAAAAATTAATTGCTAATATTGAAAAATCCCTGACACTTGTTAATTCAAAATATGGGCCAATAATTTTTCTCTATGCAGATTCAGGACGACTGGAAGAGCTTCTAAACTGGTGGTTGCTGGCTAGGTTTATTGCCAAAATGGAGCTTCATAATTTAATTGTTGCAACAGATGACATCAAACTTTGTCCTATCCTTTCAAAATTGTCAATAAACACAATTTTCATTGTAACTAACATGACAAAAATTCAAAGCCATTCTTTGATTTGGACTTACAGAATAACCCTCTGGCGACTGTTGATCTCATATGGCTATGATGTATACAACTTTGATACAGATGCTATTGTTTTACATGATCCTATAGGTCATGTTGAGAGAAATTATCCTAATGCAAGCATTGTTGCCTCTATGACTAAGAAATCACCAAAGAATGTCCAGAGAGACTGGGGTTTTACTTTATGCATGGGAAATGTTCTTTTCAGGAAGGAGCTGAATCGTCAAGGTGAGTGTTCATAACACAATTTTGTCTTTGCTACAAAAATAGATTCAAAAAGTATACAAGGACACAAACGTGTATAACATGTCCCTGTCTAGAATTTTAATCCCCAATGCTCAACACTAATCAGCTGAAGAGACAAGACTTTAGGAAAACTATCCAAAATGGCCGCATTAATATTTACCCAGAATACCCATAAACTAATCAGTTCAAGATTTTCATACAAAGCATTATGAGAATTTGAAATTGATCCATGATATAGTTTGCTAAGAAACATGTAGACAAGACTTTACAGACAAGATTTTGGGACGGAAAATCACCTGTTCAAATCTTCAGAAAACAAGCAAAATCCAACATACGACTGTCTAAAATCTGTTGCGATAACTTCCCTGGTCCTTTTGAATAATAATGAGTATATTTCTGTAATCTATGTATTCCAAAATACAGGGTGGTCAAAAAATGGAAACCCTGCATTTTCCACATATCTTTGTCCTTTTAAGAAATTACTCCCTGATATTTCACACATTTGTAAATCATTCAATTTCCTACCACCCTACATTATTTCAGGACCATCAGACTGATAGTCACAATTTTACAGCACTTTGAACAACATGCTTCAGGTTTGGCCATCATTGCGCTGGAGGCAAACCTGCACAGTTGTCAATGATCCAAATACATTCCTCAGCAGGTATGGCCTGAATGATACAGATGATCTCACTTTTGAGGTCTGCAAGTGTCCTGGGGTCATTATTATACACTGTATCTCTGCCATATCCCCATAGGTAGGGACATTTTGGGTGACATGTGCAAGTTGGTCTTCGGCGCAATAGTGGCCACCGGGATTGTTCTTTTAAGTGCTGCCACACTCTGTATCTGTACCTCTGTATCTCTGCCATATCCCCATAGGTAGGGACATTTTGGATGACATGTGCAAGTTGGTCTTCGGCGCGATAGTGGCCACCGGGATTGTTCTTTTAAGTGCTGCCACACGGTGATTATCAATCAGATGGTCATGAAATATGGTAGGCTGGTAGGAAATTGAGTGATGTACAAATCTGCAAAGTCTCCATAAAAACAGTGAATTCTTTGTAAGAAACATTGAAATGTAAGGGTAATCTTTGAGAAACTTAAGAAAACTTGAAGCTGACCTTTGATCTAGACCAAGTCAAATTCAGGTCCCTTGTTATAAGATCAGGAGCATATGGTAGATAACTGAAAAATAGCAATGGGGCCTCCTAATAAAAAAATTAGTACCGTGGGTACTGGGCTCACATGGTGACAGAAAAAAACGGATATAATTTTTTGCTGATTTTTTGTAACAAAATTATTTCAAGCCACTTGCCACTATTTTGGACTGACGGAGAGACAGATGGACAAATCGATGTTAAGTAAAATTGCTGAAAAAAAACAGATATAATTTTTTTTCAATTATTTGGAACAAAATTATTTCATACAACTACTCTTTACAGTGACATGGCTTTTTGCAATGCAAGACACCTGAAATTATTTGTAAAGCTAGGAAATGGGCCAAAATTGAATTTCGCGAGACAAAAATGACGACCATTTTGAAATCAGGCAAGCTTTTGAACCAGGAGTCAAAGGGGAGTTTTTTTGTATTGATGTTGAACAAAAATAACGTGAAACTGGAATCCTATCGACAGAGGTTTTAAGTAAATGGTCCAAAAGAGGATTTCGTGAGACAGATGGACAAATCAATGTTAACTAAAATGGCTGAAAATAAAAAAACAGATATAATATTTTGCCGATTTTTTGTAACAAAATTATTTCATACAACTACTCTTTACAGTGACATGGCTTTTTACAATGCAGGACAGCTGAAATTATTTGTAAAGCTAGGAAATGGGCAAAAAGTGAATTTCGCGAAACAAGAATGGTCCCCATTTTGAAAATAGGCGAGCTTTTGAACCAAGAGTCATAGGAGAGTTTTTTGTATTGATGTTGAACAAAATTAACTTAAAACGAGAATCCTATCGACAGAGGGTTTAAGGTAAATGGTCCAAAAGTGGATTTTGCGAGATAGATGGACAAATCAATGTTAACTATAAAATGGCTGAAAATAAAAAAATGGATATAATTTTTCGCTGATTTCTCGTAACAAAATTATTTCATACATCTTCTCTTTATATTGACATGGATTTTTACAATGTAGGACACTTGAAATTATTTGTAAAGCTAGGAAATAGGTGAAAAGTGAATTTCGCGAGACAAAAATGGCGGCCATTTTGAAAATAGGCGAGCTTTTGAACCAGGAGTCATAGGGGAGTTTTCTGTATTGATGTTGAACAGAAATAACTTAAAACAGGAATCCTATCAACAGAGGTTTTAAAACGTGCCACTGTTATTGAGGAAAAGTGGATTTCGCGAGTCAGATAGACAAATCAATGTTAACTAAAATGGCTGAAAATAAAAAAATGCATATAATTTTTCGCTGATTTTTTGTAACAATATTATAACATATATCTACCCTTTACATTGACATGGATTTTTACAGTGTAGGACACCTGAATTATTTGTAAAGCTATGAAATGGGTCAAAAGTGAATTTCACGAGACAAAAGTGACAGCCATTTTGAAAATAGGCGAGCTTTTGAACCAGGAGTCATAGGGGAGTTGTCTGTATTGATCTTGAACAGAAATAACTTAAAACAGGAATCCTATCGACAGAGGTTTTAAAGGAAATGGGTCAAAAGTGAATTTCGCGAGACAAAAGTGACGGCCATTTTGAAAATAGGCGAGCTTTTGAACCAGGAGTCATAGGGGAGTTTTCAGTATTGATCTTGAACAGAAATAACTTAAAACAGGAATCCTATCGACAGAGGTTTTAAAACGTGCCACTATTGTTGACGGACAGACAGACAGACGGACAGACGGACGGACAGACAGACGGACAAGTGAGTGATTGCAAAAGCTCACCATGTGAGCTAATAAAAATAACGTAACACAATCTTCAGGCCTAGTAATGTGAAAAATTTGTATGGAGGAATGTGCCTACTTTTTAAACAACCCTACAACAAACACATATGATATACAGAGATATGTCATTTATATCGCATTAATAAACTACACCATGAAATCAGGAATCATGTGACCTCCATAATCAAACTAATTCCTTATTGGAATTTTTTCCAGCTTCTTTTTGGGGTTTCTTGGATGATATGTGCGATGCACTTAATGAAAATGCTGTTGATGATCAAAAAATGATCAACGAAGTACTCATTGGTGGGGGAATCAAATGGAATAACACTTCACAACCATTTAATAACCCTGGAAACATAATCGGCATGACAACAGATGGCCTTGTAGTGAGAGCCCTATCTTCAAGAGAGTTCTGCCGATTAACATGTTATAAAAGAAGGAAACATTATGTATGGCACACTCGATCTGACCATAAAAACCTGTTACTGAAAAATGACTGGGAAAACTTGTTGACTGAAGGGAATAACATAAAAATACTAGTTAACCAGACCTTATATCTTAACTTAAAGCAGAACTTGAACAGCAGTATTAATATGACAGGTCTGAGACTGAATGACATCAACAAATCATAATTTAAATGCCTCTTATAAAGGCTCCTTTTTCACTTTTGTTTAGTGGCAGGTGGTCGGGGGGGGGGGTAAAAAGCAATAGAGAATTTAGTAAAATTTATTAAAGTGACATCTGTCTGATTAGTGCCAGACAGGAACTAAAATCTGTCTGATTAGTGCCAGACAGGAACTAAAATCAATCATTTACTATACATTACTCTATTCTGAATAAGGTGTAATCGATTCAATCATTTCTACATAAACAAAACATACTGACCTACAAAAGGCTTTCTAAGACCCTCCAATGTGATACCTCATAGTTCTTCAATTCATCTTTGATTAGAAAGGATCTCCAACTTGATTCTCTTATATTCTGGGCCCCTAATTTGATACAGTTGCAGTTGATACATAAATATTCGCAAACTGTGGGGAAGGATGCACATGCACCTGCAAATAAATTAAATAAAAACATAAAGTTGAAATTAATAAATCGATACAGACCAAAATGCAATGGTATAGTTAAACTTGGATATCTGAACACCTCTCTAATCTGAAAAAACTCTCAAAAAATTGAAAGGAGCATGTAGGTTATCTCAAACAATTTCAAACGATTCTAACTTGAATTATGAGTATTTTCTAATAATCATGAACATGGGTGTATCTTTTAGATCCATTCATTATCTTCAAGAAAAGTATATATTATGATAATCTAGTTTGTTTGACTTTATTATTACTGTATATAATTTTCTTTGAGATAATGAATGGATCTAAAACATATACCTGTCTTCATTGTCAGAAAAGTCATAATCCAAGATACAACCGTCTGAAATTGTTTGCGATAACCTACTGCTCCTTTGACCACCTGTTCACCCTATACCAGTCCCGATGGCATTCCAACTTGAGAGGTTTTACTGTATAAATAACCTATCAAAAAATCATAGGTTATTTATAAAGTAAAACGTCTCTTTGCAAAGCAGTTGAGATTTTTGGCAATTTGATTTCTTTTTTGATTTAGCTTTTTGAATATTTTCTATTCTGTATATTTTTGTGAAAATGATCTAGTAGTTTAGGGTGAAAGATTACTGTGAATAGTTTACATCAAAGAACACCTTATACATGCACCATTTAACCCAGAATGTTGTATGTAATTGCTTAGAGATCATCTACATTTATATATCTAAAATATATTGAATTGATAACTGATATTGAAATGTTTAAAGGACTCTATACCATAGGATAGCACAATCAAGACCCCTCTGGACCTTTTTGCATATTGAGTTTCACCATATATTCACCCATCTACTTACCAACGAAGAAATCCCAAATACTTTCAGTGTTAATTTTGTGATTATGTTGGCTGATCTAATTATTTTCACAGATATTAATTCAATCTGAAGTTTGAATATACCGGGAAAATCCCCCTGTTATCTGATTGGTTGTTGAATTT